TTCCCTTTCACTCTGTTCACTTCATCATCTTCTATATATCTTTCACTCTTTTTGTGTCATCTATCAAACTAGACCATTTTGTCCTAATTAACCAAATTCAAAAAGCTTGCAAATATGTATACTGATTAACCAAATTAAAAAAATTTGCAACTATATAAACCAATTTATCTTCCACATATGCTTCATATGCCCATAAGGCAATGTCTTCACTTATTCATTTGCAACTTCTTCATCTTATCTCCAATCAACATCTTCTCCTTGATGTCTCCAGCCTATGATGCATTTATAGAGACGTAGGCACACATGCACATAGATATATAATTAAAAAAATTAAGACTAAGTATGCATAGCGCACAACTTATCAATTGTCTTGTCTAAATATCGTCGTCACTCATGACCATCATCTATTGACACCGGCAACCACTGGCATCACCGATGAGTAGCTTAACAAATCATCGCTTTCTCTGGAATAAAATGAAGATTTAACCCAATTGTTGGGTATATTTGTCCATATGTGAATATCAATTTTCTAAAATTTCTCTTGAAAAAATTAAGACTTATTCTTGGGCATAGATCATCCATATGCAAACATTTGATTTTTATACTCTTTATCTTCTCTACAGTGAAGAAATAAAAATATTTGTGTCATTTATTATATAGTGAATTTTACAACTGGGCTAGACCCTATGGTTTTTTCCCTTTCTAGGTTATCTACCTAAAAAATTTCTGTTTTGTCTGTTCATGCTGAAACTTTGTAAAAGCTAAGAAATTTTCTAGCACACAATTGAGCCAAGGAAGGCTCATAGAAGAAAATATGGGGCTTTTATCACTAACAATTGAGCCAAGGAAGGCTCATAGAAGAAAATATGGGGGCTTTTATCACTAACAAATTTGTCAATAGCTTTCATTTTTTACTTATAAATATATTAGGCAAACTTATAAAAACTTTTTTTTTAATAATTTTATTAAAATATTTTCAGGTCTACGAATTTTGAAATCCTTCAGTAAAATCACTAGTTCTTTGAAAAAAAAATAAATTACCATTTCAGAGGCAAAAAATATATTTTTAAAATTTTTTAGAGGCCAAATATAATACATATCAATTAAAAAATTGGTTATTAAAATAATTGTATTATTATATTACGTAATAATATTTATGTAGATGTATAGAGCCAACGAACAGCCAATGGAATGAAGAACCCAGCTGTGCTCAATTGTATTATTCCCACTCTACCCCTATCCCGTTTTGCCCCTACCAAAACTTTCTCCTCTACCCCCTCCGCCGCCGCCGCCGGGACCCTCGCAGCCCACTTCGCCCGCGCAGTCGACCGCACCTCCGTCTCCTCATGGAACTCCGCAATCGCCGAACTGGCGCGGGACGGCGACGCTACTTCCGCCCTCCGTGCCTTCTCCTCGCTCCGCCGCCTCCGCCTCACCCCCGACCGCTCCTCCTTCCCGCCAGCCCTTGCAGCCGCCGCCGATCTTGAAGCACATTCCTCTGGTCGCCAGCTCCACCTCATTGCCTTCAGCCTAGGTCTCCATCCGGACCTCTTCGTTGCCTCCTCCCTTGTCCACATGTACGCTAAGTGCCGCCATCCCAACGATGCCCGCAAAGCGTTCGACGAATCTCCCAACCCGAACGCCGTTCTTTGGACCGCCATGATCTCCGGCTACGTGAGCAACAATGCCTCCCATAATGCCATATCGATGTTTCGAAAGTTTTTGGCGGAGGAAGGGCCAGTGGAAGTGGACTCTGCCGCTGCTGTGTCTGTTTTGTCAGCTTGTGCGAGGCTTTCAGAGAAATTGGCGGTTTTGGGTTTTCATGGTTTGGTGCTGAAGCTTGGCTTGCAAGATGTGGGAGTATGGAATACTTTGGTGGATGCTTATGCTAAAAGCCGGCATTTGGGCTTGGCAAGGAAGGTGTTTGATGATATGATTGACAGGGATGTAGTATCTTGGAATTCGATTATTGCTGTTTATGCTCAGATTGGATTGTCCGCAGAGGCACTGAATTTGTATTCAGATATGGTGAGGGGTGGGACAGTGAAGCACAATGCAGTGACCTTGTCGGCTGTGCTTCTTGCCTGTGCCCATGCCGGGGCTCTTCAGATTGGGAAGTTCATCCATGATCAGGTTAGCTGCCTGTCCATTTATTCTGTTACATCTGCTGTTGCAAGTCGGCTTCTAATTTCAAAGAGTTTATTTGCTTGGATCTTAATGAATTAGCTGATAACCGCTACGTGTGAATTGAATAGCTTTGATTTAGCTCAAATTGAAAGGTCTTGCATGCTTAGATTAACTTTCAACTAACAATGGCAATCTTGATTGAGATTAGGTTTAATTAGGCATGTCTTGATCCCCTGTGGGGATTAATCTTGCTCAAGAACAATGTGAAAAGCTTACTAGCAAGTATAAAATAAGTCTAACATAGAAAGAAGAGAGAGAAAGATAGAACTAGAGAGAAAAGATCTAGGAATTTTATTTAAATGTTTGTTTGAGTGTTCACACTGTTGTAACTCAAGTGGACATTATATGTTATAATGTGTCACACTCATCCTCTGTCCTCCTATTTATACATTTAGTTTAAAGTTCAACGATACAAGAAATAGTACAAATAAGTAATACAAGTAAATTTACTGATAGGCCGACCTAGGAGGGGCCGGCTGGACCGGTCCTAGTTTACAGCCGACGGAACCAGCCAGGAAAGGGAGGCGGGCGGACCACCTTGTGGGCCCCAATTTGGGTTAAATCCAATATTAGGAGGGAAATTTTGAATTACAAGGGTGTTTAGGGAATCTGTGTTCCTCCTTTAGCCTTAATTAGGGAGTAATGATAGATTTAGGATTTTCATCTTGAATTGGAATGGTAATTTGAGATCTCATTGTGTGCTTGAGCTCTAGGGTTTGCTAGAGACATGTGGAGAGTTGTTCTTCCTCTCGAATCGAAGAACATTATATATTTCATTGTTTTCTTGCATCTACTAGTGAAATCTTTGTTTTCCCTCCCTATTTTCCACTGTTTTGGTGCAAAACCTGCTGCGAGGGTGCTGTTTTTCTGCTGTGACAGCAGTTTTCTCACTGGTTTTGTACTAATTTCGACTAGGTTTGGTTGCGAACTCAAGTATTACCTTAGAGTTACTTGCGAACTCAAGTATTTCCTATCAAATTGGTATTAGAGCGTCGATTGTAGACCTTTGGTGGCTGAAATTTGGAAATTTAAGCATGTTTTTGACAACCGGAAGAAGATCTTTGTGATCCGTGGGAAGAGAGATGGCCGGGAAGAAAGTAGAGGTCTTGGAAGGTGAGATCGGTCAACTAAAATCAGATTTGGAGGGAAAGTTCTTTGACTTTCAAACTCAAATCACCTCCAACAATGAAATGATAGGAGGGAAATTCACGGTAATGGAAGAAATGTTGAAGAAACTGTTGGAGTTGAAGACAAGTCCCACGACATCGGAAGCAAGAGAGACCACCGGAGGCCACGGTGTAGGAGGAAATCCGAACTCATTTAGGGGAAGGAGAAATCCGGAAGTGGAGGTGATCGAGGGGAGGATGACATGCCACTTGTAGAGTCACTCTCTAGAGAGGAGATGAGTTTCGAAAATGACCTGAGGGGTGCTGATTTCATCGAGAGAAGGGAAGAATTTCATCGCCGAGGCGCTAATTTTGAAGGGAGAAGAAGGGAATACGATGAATGTTTTGGGTATAATCATCGGAGGGAAGATCGTGACAGTTGGGGAGCACCTCATTTTCGAAGAATGGGAGGGTATGGAGGATTCAGGGGACACGGGGAGACCCATGGGTGAGGAAACTGAAGATGCTCATCTTTGAGGGTGAAAACGACCATGATTGGATGTCTGGATCTACAAGGTGGAGCGTTACTTTGCTGTCAACGAGTTGACAGAGGAAGAGAAGCTGACGGCGGTAGGATTTTGTTTGGAAGGAAAAGACTTGGCATTGTATCAGTGGCGTGACAGGAGGGAGCCTATTCGGAGCTGGAGAGAGTCAAAGATTGCTTATTAGAGTGTTTCTGAGCCGATGGGGTAGGAGACTTCTATGAGCAATTCTTTGCATTGACTCAGGAGGGGACTGTGGCAGATTACCGAGACAGGTTTGAGTACTTGGCTAGCAGATTGGATCATATTTTAGAGTCAGCCCTAGAAGGAAACTTTATGAAGGGGCTTAAACCTCAGATACAAACAACAGTCAGGGTGCTGGAGCCGAGGAACCTAGGGAAGACTATGGAGCTGATGCAGTTGGTGGAAGATCAGAAGAAATCTGAAAGGTAGCTCGAGGGAACTATTCAGGGGGATCATACAAGATGACTACTACCTTCTTATCATCAAAAGGGGCAGCACCAGGGAGTCTGGAGGAAGCGCCAAAGGAGAAAACTGAAGGGGGAAATGGGGGACAATTCAAAAAGCTGATAGAGAAGGAGATGCAGTACAAGAGAGCAAAGGGGTTGTGTTTCAGATGTGATGAGAAGTACATGCCGAGACATAGGTGCAATGACCGAACTCTTCATGTTCTCCTTGTCTGTGAAGACGAGGAAGACGAGGAGGGAGGTGGGAGCAGATCTGAAGAGGAAGAGAAGCTGCACCTGGATGCGACAGAAGTCTCTCTGAACTCTGTAGTGGGATTCACTCCGAGTCACACTATGAAAGTGAAAGGAGAGATAGATGCCGTGAGGTGGTGGTGTTGATTGACAGTGGGGAAACCCACAATTTCATTTCCAACCAGATCGTTGAGCTGTTGGGGATGGAGTTGGTGGATACAGGAGGCTATGGGGTGATTATGGGCACGGGAATGCTGGAAATGGGTAGAGGAGTGTATAGAGGGGTGGTGCTGAAGATTCAGGGGATCCAGGTGAGGGAGGACTTCCCTTGGAATTAGTGAGCACTGACGTCATCCTAGGGATAAAGTGGCTGCGGATATTGGGGGCCAAAGATTCAATTCGAGGTACACGGAGGATGGACCTGGTGTGAGGGGGGGGGGGAAGAACTGTGGATGATTCAGGTGATGCAGGGCTGACAAGGGGGCTTTCTCTCAAATCCCTAATCAGAACCATCCAGGAGGAGGGAGGAGGCTACTTAGTGGAGTTGCACTGCCTGGAAAGGGTCAGACTAGAGAAGAAGACAATGTTCTATCTTCAGTGCAGCCGCTCATACACCAGTTCAACGAGGTTTTTCAACCTTCCCAGGGTTTACCTCCTCAGAGGGAGTTGGAGCACGCCATTACTTTGAAAGAAGAGAAGACACCGATGCCACAGATTTAGAAATATGAGATTGAGAAGCTGATCTGGGAAATGCTAGAGGCGAGGATCATCAGATCCAGCGTTAGCCCTTTTTCTAGTCCAGTTCTCCTGGTCAAGAAGAAGGATGGGAGTTGAAGATTCTATGTGGATTACATGGCTCTGAATCGGGGCACTGTACCAGACAAGTTCTCAATTCCGGTGATTGATGAGCTGTTGGACGAGCTATATGGGGCAGTGATGTTTTCCAGTTGGACTTAAAATTTGGATACCACCAGATCAGAATGAGGGAGGCAGATGTTCTAAATACAGCCTTCAGGACACATGAGGGGCATTATGAATTTCTGGTAATACCATTTGGATTGACTAACGCTCCTACAACTTTTTAGTCTTTGATGAACAAAGTATTCAAGCAGCATCTCAAGAAGTTTGTCTTGATCTTTTTTAATGACATTCTGGTGTACAACAATACCGTGGAGGAGCTCTTGAAACATTTGAGAGTGGTCTTAGAAGTGCTTCAGAAGCATCAGCTGAAAGCTAACCTGAAGAAGTGCAGCTTTGCTCAGGCAAGTGTGGAGTACTTGAGACATGTGGTATTCCAGGAAGGAGTGGCGGCGGATCAAACTAAATTTGAGGCAATGCAAAAATGGTCACTGCCTAGGAACATAAGGGAGTTGAGGGGTTTCCTAGGCTTGATTGGTTATTACAGAAAATTTGTGAAGGGGTATGGTACCATTGCATGGCCTTTGACTGAGTAGCTGAAGAAAAATAATTTTTCATGGGGAGAGGCGGCGACCCAAGCCTTCGAGAGGTTAAAGGAAGCCATGACTACTGTTCATGTTCTAGGTCTTCCAGACTTCAGTCAGGTCTTTGTAGTAGAGACCGATGCCTCAGGATATGGGTTGGGAGCAGTGTTGATGCAGAGCCACATGCCTATAGAATACTTCAATCAAGTGTTATCAACCAGGGCAAGACTGAAGTCAGTGTAATTGTCTTGGCCATCCAAAAGTGGCGCCCTTATCTTTTGGGTCGACACTTCATTGTCCGGACTGATTAGAGGAGCTTAAAGTACCTCTTAGAGCAAGGGACGGTGACTGAGGAGCATCAATGATAGCTATTCAAACTATTGGGCTATGATTTTGAGATTCAGTATAGGTCGGGTTTGGAAAATAAAGCAGCTGACGCTCTATTCAGATGTGTGGGGGAGCTCCAGGAATTAGCTGTGTTAGTTCCCCTAATAGCTGACTGGGGGGCCATCAAGGAAGAAAGCATGCTGGATGAAGAATTGGGAAGGATCAGGGAAGATACGAGGAAAGACAATAGTAGTCATCCTGGTTATTGCATTGAGGGGGAGAGACTAATGTATCAAGGGAGGTTTGTGATGCCACAAACTTCCATACATATTCCTCACTTGTTGCAGGAGTTCCATGGCAGCGCAGTTGGAGGCCATTTAGGAGTTTAGAAGACATACAGAAGGCTAGCAGTTGAGCTCTACTGGAAGGAGATGCATAAAGATGTGGAGAGATTGTGGCAAGATGTGAGGTGTGCCTGAGAAATAAATACATGGCAATGGCACCATAAGGGTTACTCCAACCATTGGCACTTCCAAACAGAGTATGGGAGGAAGTGTCCATGGATTTCATCGACGGCCTACCTCGCTCAAAGGGATTCACAGTCATTTTGGTAGTGGTGGACCGACTCAGTAAGTATGCACATTTCATCCTCCTACGACATCCGTACACTACGGCATCAGTGGCAGCAGCATTTATCCGGGAAGTGGTTAGATTACATGGGATGCCTGAATCAATTGTGTCTGATAGAGACAAAGTGTTCCTTAGTCAGTTTTGGAGGGAATTGTTCAGAATGCAGGGCATTGTTCTCAA